TTTGTTCCACATTGTTCTCCCGCTCTATCCAGGATCTCCTATATAGATCTCCCTCTGAGTGGTTGACAGTGATAGCTGGGCACAATCTAGTTCTTCTGGTCTATAGTCATATGGGCTGAGGATCTCATGGTGTACCAGTCCCTTCAACCAATTTTTTCCCTTCGTCTTTGGTTTTCTTCATTCTTCTTTGCTCTGGATAAGGAGAGATCTATCATTGCATCTAGATTGCCACTTGCAGACTTTTAAGATCCCAGTTGCTATACACCAAAGTAGAATGTGGAACGATGTTTTTTCATAGGATGTTATGCCACTTGAGCTTGATGTCCTCTGTGACCATGATCCCAAGCCCACAAGTCCAACTACTCACTCCCTCCATGTAGCTGGCTGTGACCAAGAAGTGACTACAACCTTGTAGCTTGTCAGCTCTGCTATGTACCTGGAAATTCTTACAGAACCTGCAAATATACTTGTAGAAACATTGTCTGCCAACCCTATACATGATCATGGGTACACTCCCCCCTGTATAGCCATGCCTAATTATCCAGCCTGTCCACTCCTCTGTACATCTGTATATCAATGTTTTCCTTCACTGACAATGCAGTACTGTATGTGCAAAAGGGTTTATCTTTGTTGTGTGTACCTCCTATGCACCTCTCTATGTTTTCCTCTTCCTCAGTGCCACCATGTTGATCACTCACATTTGGTACATTGATTGCCCTTCGCTTCACCCAAATTAATACTTGTCTATACCTGTCTAGCAAGGGTTCCCTCTCCTCCCCTCCCACCCCTGGTAACCAAAAAAGAAAATTTCTTTCCACATATAAAACTTTCCCTTGACTTTTTACAATAACAGACTAATACAATATTTGTCCTTCTGTGATTGACTTAATTCACTCAGCATAATATCTTCCAAGTTCATCCATGTTATACAGTGTTTTGCAAATTCTATGTTATTCTTTAGGGTTGCATAGTATTCCATGGTGTGTATGTACCATAGTTTGGTTATTCATTCTTCTGTTGATGGGCACCTAGGTTGTTTCCATCTTTTGGTCTGTTCTTGTCCTGGCTCTCACTTCTTTAAGGCATGTTGTTGTTGTTATTCGCCATCAAGTCGGACCCAACTCATAGCGACCCCTCCTTGGGTTTCCAAGGCAGTATCACTATGGAAGTAGATTGTCCAGTCTTCCTAAAATCAACTTTTTTGAGGCATACTTTACATACAGTAAAATGCACCAATTTTAAGTGACCCCCCCCCAAAAAAAAAGATATATAGCTAGTGATGGAATTACTGCATCAAATGGTATTTCTAATTCCAACTTTTTAAGGAATCACCATACTACTTTCCACAGTGGTTGTATAATTTTACAGTCCCACCAGCAGTGCAAGAGAGGCCCAATCTCCACACATCCTTGCCAGCATTTGTTATTTTCTGTCTTGTTGAACTTTGCTACATACTAGTTCTGGGGCAAGATGATATTTCATTGTTGTTTTGGTTTGCATCTCTCTAGTGGCTAATGATCGTGAGCATTTCTTCATGTGTTTGTTGCCTGCCTGAATATCCTCTTTGGTGAAGTGTCTATTCATATCTTCTGCCCATTTTTTAATATGATTATTTGTCTTTTTGTTGTTGAGGTTTTAGAGTTTTCTATAAATTCTAGAGATAGGTCTGTTGTCAGATATGTCATTGCCAAATATTTTTTCCAAATCTGTAGATTCTCTTTTTATTCTTTTGAAGAAGACTTTGTAAGCACATAAAAATTTAATTTTTAGAAGGTCCCATTCATCTAGTTTATCTTCTGCTGTTTGTGCATTTTGGGTTATACTTGATAGTCTATTTATACCATATATTCCAAAACCAACCGAATACTGCCGTCGAGTTATTTCTGACTCATAGTGACCCCTCCTTGGGTTTCCAAGGTTTTATCTCAATGGAAGTAGATTGCCCAGTCTTCCTTCTGAGGAGTGGCTGGTGGGTTTGAACTTCCAGCCTCCTGGTTAGCTGTCAAATGCCTTAGGCACTATGCCACCAGAGGCCCCTAAATTTGCCCCTAGTTTTTCCTTGAAGAACTTTATAGCTTTAGCTTTCACATTTAAGTCTTTGATCCATCTAGAGTTAGTTTTTGTGTATGGTGTGAGATATAGATCTTATTTCATTTTTCTGCAAATGGATGTCCAGTTTTGCCAGCACCATTTGTTAAACAGATAATCTCTTGCCCATTTAATGGATTTCAGCCCTTTCTCAAGGATCAGCTGACCATAGGTCGATGGATCTATTTCTGGGTTCTCAATTCTATTCCATTGGTCTATGTGTCTGTCGTTGTAGCAACATCAGGCAGTTTTGACTACTGCGGCTGTATAGCAGGGTTTGAGATCTGGCAGTGTGAGACCTCCTACTTTGTTCTTCTTCTTTAGTAGTGCTCTGCTTATCTGAGATCTCTTTCCTTTCCATATAAAGTTAGTGATTCGTTTTTCCATATCCTTAAAGAAGGTTGATGGGGTCTTGATTGGGATTGCATTGAAGGTGTAGATTGCTTTGGGTAGAATTGATGTTTTCACAATGTTCAGTCTTCCTACCATAAGCATGGTGTGTTCTTCCATTTATGTAGATCTCTGTGGTTTCTTGAAGTAGTGTTTTGTGTAGTTCTTTTGTTTCCCTGGTAAGATTTATTCCCAAATATTTTGTTTTTTTGGTAGCTATTGTAAACGTATTGCTTTCCTTTTCAGCAATCTCTGCTGGTGTAGAGAAATCCAACTGATTTTTGAATGTTGATCTTGTATCCCACCACTATGATAAATCTGTCAATTAGTTCCAGTAGTTGTTTTTTTTTTTTTTTTTGTTTTGTTTGTTTGTTTGTTTTTTACTACGTCTCTTGGGTTTTCTATGTATAGCATCATATCATCAGCAAATAGGGATGATCTGACTTCCTCCTTACCAATTTGGATGCCTTTGATTTCCCTTTCTTGCCTTACTGCCCTGGCTAGGACTTCCATTACAATGTTGAATAGAAGTGGTGATAGAAGCCATCCTTGTCTGGTTCCTGTTCGCAAGGGGAATGGTTTCAGTCTCTCTCCATTGAGAATAATGTTGGCTGTTGGTTTTGCATGGATGCCCTTTATGATGTTGAGGAATGTCCTTTCTATTCCTATTTTGCTGAGAGTTTTGATCAGGAATGGGTGTTGGATTTTATCAAATGCCTTTTCTACGTTGATTGATATGATCATGCTGTTCTTTTCCTTTGTTTTATTTATGTGATGGATGATGTTGATTGTTTTTATAATGTTGAACCATCTTTGGCATACCTGATATGGACCCAAATTGGTCATAATGAATTCTTGATGTGCTGTTGGAGTCTATTGGCTAGGATTTTGCTGAAGATTTTTGTATCTATATTCATGAGGGATATTGGTCTGTAGTTTTCCTGTTTAGTGATGTATTTGTCTGGTTTTGGTATCAAGGTTATGCTTGCATCATAAAATATATTTGGGAGGATTCCATCCTTTTCCATGTTCTGGAAAAGTTTAAGTAGGATTGGTGTCAGTTCTTCTCTGAACATTTGGTCGAATTCTCTAGTGAAACCATCTGGGCCAGGATTTTTTTTTTTGTTGGTAATTTTTTTATGACCTGTTCAATTTCTTCTTTTGTTATGTGTCTGTTCAACTTTTCCACCTTAATCTGTGTTAGTTTAGGTTAAGTAGTATGTTTCTAGAAATCTGTCCATTTTTTCTAGAATTTCACATTTGTTGGAATACAGTTCTTCTTAGTATCCTGATATTATCATTTTTATTTCAGTTGGTTCTGTTGTGATGTCGCCCAATTTGTTTCTTACTCATGTTATTTGTATTCTCTCCCTCTTTTCCTTTGCTAAATTTGCCAGTGGTTTGTAAATTTTATTAATCT